CATTTGGCGCACCGTAACAGTCTTATGCTCGGATCACACTTGCAGCAGATGGGCCACATGAAGAAGGAGTCGATGTGCATAGTTCCCACTTGCGTGAATTGTGTCCATTACATGCTTGTGTTGTGTAATGATGGGTGATATTTATGTGTTTTGCAGGTGCTGGTGGGTAGAGGTGTGATGCTTTGGCATGAATGTAATGTGCCCAAGTATGGTCCATGTGGGGGCCGTATGGGTGGAGGCAGATCTTGCAGTTGAATCGAGTACGCCTGGTGTATGTTGGTGCTCCAGGCACTGGTTCGCCAGTCTCCGTGCAATGGATTCGTGGGTGACCGACCAGGCGGGTATGTGAGGTGAAAATGCGGGGACAGTGTGGGCAAGGTTAGGTCGGGAGCTCCAGAATCGGTTCCAATTGTAATTGTGGTGGTACTTGAAGTGCTGATTATGGACGCGCTGGACGACGGGGTTTTTGTGGGGCTAGACAGGGTGGGTGTAGAGGGTGTGCTGGGTGTGTCGACAATGCGAAATTCGCCACAGTACCCACATCCACACATACCGCACACGCACGGTTTCATCAACACACAGGGGAACCAGATTCAAAGTAGGATTTCGGAACTCCCGCCAGAGGGGTTTGCCGTAGTGGCTAAATTGAAAAGTCATTCCAGTCGAGTCCTCGATGAGGATACCAAACGCTGCATGCACGTTCGATCAGTCCCTCTGACTCTCTATAACGGGAGGAGAGTAGACCTCATGGCTAACATTTTCTAAAGTCCCTCCTCCCCCTCCGTCAAACATATATCACACGCCCCTCGGGCTCCGTTTGAGTACAACGTGGAAAAAGCTAATTTCCGTCATCTTTAGATAAACCCCGTGTAAAAGATTATTCATGCTGCTTTTCAAATCAGAAGTAGTGAGTCCTGACAAGGTGTAGGTCGCTCAAGTTAAATTTCACCAAAACGTCCCAAGATAGGCTACCGGACAGCAGAGGAGAGACTGAAGGAACCATTATACTCGTGATAGCTCTGCGGTTTCACAAATCGTCACCCATTCTACCAAAAAGAGACACAATCAGCACTCTGGCCGACCGGATTGTCAGGGCATGGGTGTCCAAACTGGTAGCAAAAGCCTGTCAGCATTGCCAACTTTGTCACTAAGTAAGTACACAAGGTCCGGTCTGTCACAAAGGTGGGGACGATTCACGTAAAAGAAAGACAGGCGCCGCAAGAGAGCCGCCGCACTCTGCTGATATTCTAGACAACGATCGGGGAATTAGACTGTCGTGGATGCGGTTACCTGTAGGAGACGCAGTGAGGTATATGAGGCGGTAACTGCAGCCCAGTAGCAAAGATGGACTGATTTCAGGCATGCTATGCAGTCCTGTAAAGAAGTATGTGACTGACTTAATAGATGGCTGTGCTGTAACGGAGGTGCTGCCCAAAGGCCTTTACTACGTAGGGAGAGGAATGGGGCAGTGCCGGTAGGAATAAAGGGCATTCCCCTCCGACGCGCAACTTCCGAAGCCGTTGCAAGCACACCGTATCAGAACGGCCATCACAAAATCTCGCCGGCATGACTATGGTGAAAAGGCATGCAAACAACTGCTGACGTAGCGTCTTTAATGCAACATCCGGAAATAATCAATACCACGGCATGTCTAGTGTTGCCTGAAAAAAATGATGACATGGGGATTGTCTTCTTTGCGTGCACTTCCTGTCTGCTTACTACAACACCCAATCCTCTTGCCAGCTCTCAAACGACTCCCGCGAGCATTTTAACGTGCTATTGCTACTCCTGAATGAAGCTGGTCGCAGTCATATACTAGATAAGGATAATTGACTGCCTGCAAAACTACTGTCCAAGTACATTGCCGTAGTCTAGTGGGACGCCAACGCCTTGAGGAAGATCAATGTGGTGGACGCCATCCGTGAGGCCTGCACCCAAAATACACAACTCTGGTTCGTAGACATCCTACGCAACTTCAGAAATTACATCATTCACGATCTCTGAGAAGTCCGATGCGGAGATCTTCAAAAACAGGCGCACAAATGACCAGACTTGGGGTATGGCGAAAAATAAGCTGTAAATGGTCAATCCAGTTTCCCCTACTTCATCGATAACGATTCTCAGCCCTTTCTACTACTTTGATCTGGCCTGGGGTTCATCTTACTAATCATCTAAATCTGCTGAGGCTGCGAGATAGCAAGTCGCCTTTGAATCGATGAACCCCCGCTGAACACCAGCATCTCCCTACATTTGAAGAAGTTTCTAAAACGAGAAACTTATCGTCAATCGATCGCAAAAGAACTGATTTTATCAGATCTGAATGGCCATATCGGCCATTGAATAGGGTCCGCCCAAACAATCGCTACTGAGACCTCAATAAGACAGTCCTCGATGTGCACAGGACCATGTTGAATGAGGTCTTGCACGAGAAGAAGGACCCGGATGAAGGCATTGTGAGCATACCGGGTGTAAGTATCACGATTGCAACACTGGCAACCGCCTGTTATTGAGCTTAAAAACATCTCTCCCTCAAACAATCACTCCTTCTTCACCCAAAACCGATCCGGAGACGATACCAGTCCAAGAGTAGAAGCTAGTGGTTTTGAAGTGTAAGATATTGGCGTTACCGTTGTTTACATGCCCAGTCGTATACAACTAAGACCCCAATATAACCCTCGCAGTAGCTAGCACTAGTAAATCCTCCGTTTACGCTAATTTGCCTAGAAACTAACAGATCATACACGTGCGTCTATCGCTGTAATTCGACGGTAAGGGACGATGGAGCGGTCAGTGAGGCGAGATGCGATGTCTGAACCCACCAACGACGGTTCTTCCAACCACTCGCAGCGCTACATAGTCTGTCCCAGTTTCACTCCAGGACCTGTTTCTGCTTTTCAGTCTGCTCATACTGATTCTGTTTGTCGTGCCTTCTTAATTCATCTATTTTCCGCATGACGCAGTTGTTTAATTTAGGCGTCGAAAAAATAAGTGGTGTTAACACCCAGGTCCGGCGCGATGTGGTCTGTTGTTGGCAATGCGTTCCACTGCGTATTGTGGCCTCGTCAGATGCAATTGTTATGTATTTCTGGCGTTTTATCACAAAAGGATCTATGCATGAACTGAAGAACGAGTCTGTATATCTCCTCGAAATTTCCTTGGGGAGGACTGGAATCATGTTTTTTTGTAATTGGGATTGCATTTGCTGGTCATTAAAATCCGATAGAAATGCTGCCTCGGTCACTTAAATACGACTCTGCGCTCCATTTCTATCCCCCTGCTTCTCTTCCTTCTTCTTCTTTCTCTTCTTCTCCTCTTCCTCCCTAGTTCATGAATACGAAACTCCGGTAAGATCGCAGTTGGTAGCCAGATATTATACGTTGATACTATCGACGTACTTACTGGTTATCAGTATGTGTGCTTACCTTGTCTAAGGAACTTGTTATCAGTAGGTGTGCTTCTACTGAGTTAGGCAGGTCGACCGTTTCGGTCAGGCTGTTGGGTTTTAGTGAGGGTTAGGGTTAGTCTTAGGTTAAGTTTCAGGATTAGGGTTTGCGTTTTAGGGTCAGGTTTCAGTGTTCGGGTTAGGGTTTAGGTTTCCGATTACGGTTTGGCTTTAGGGTTGGGGCTCGGCACTAGGGTTGGGTTTATGGTTGTCTTGGTTAGGGTTAGAACATTTGGCTGTCGTTTTAGGCTTGAGGTTAGGATTAGGGTTCACGTCTACGGTTTTCCGATTTTCGGGTTAGGGTTAGCACTTCAGGGTTAGGTTTCTGGGTTGAGGTTAAGGTTAAACTTTACGATTGGGTTTCAGTATTACGGTTGCGATTAGGTTTAGAGTTAGGGCTATGGTTACGGGCTACGGTTAAGGTTCCCGTTGGGGTTACGATTAAGGTTAAGGTTAGGGTTATGGTTTGGGATACGGTTAGGGTCAGGTTTAAGGCTAGCGTTAAATTTAAGGTTTAGGGTTAAGTTTAAGGTTAGGGTTGAGGCTAGGATTAGGATTCAGATTAGGGTTAGGGTTGAGATTAGGGTTAGAGTTAAGATTATGTTTAGGATTAGGTTTAAGTTTAGGGTTAGGTTTAGGCTTAGGGTTAGGTTTTGGGTTAAATTTATAGTTAGGTTTAAGGTTAGGGTTAAAGTTATGTTTGGGTTTCGGTATAGGTTTACGCTTAGGGTTAAGATTAGGGTTAGGGTTAATGTTAGGTTTAGGCTTAAGTTTAGGTTTAGGGTTAAGGTTATGTTTAGGGTTTAGTTTAGGGTTAGGGTTAGGTTTAGTGTTAGGTTTAGGGTTTGGTTTAGGGTTTAGATTAAGTTTAA